GTGCAGGACCACCTGCTGCAGCAGGACCGGCTGGTTGAAGAGGGAGCAGAGCGTGTCCCCGTGTAGCAGCTAACGGCCCCTGCTCTAGCAGAGGAACGTTGAACTTGGGGGAACTCAGATACAAACTACCTGAGCATCTTTCTTATGGTCATTTTACAGTCTGGGAGCAGTCAAACCTAGAAGGCAGGAACCCTGACCCTGTCTCCTAATACAGCCATCAGAAGAACAGTCTCCCGTAGTACTATTTTCCTTATCTATCTTGAGGAACTTAAGGAAAAATTTCTTAACAATGTGGGTGCCAGAGCACTGGAACAGGCTGCCCAGAGAGGTTGTGGAGTCTCCTTCTCTGGAGATCTTCCAAACCCGCTTGGACGCAGTCCTGTGCCCCGTGCTCTAGGTGACCCTCCGTGTGCAGGGGGTTGGACCAGATGACCTCTAGAGGTCCCTTCCAAACTTAACGATTCTGTGATTGCCTCACTAAACATGAATAATGCAGCGCTCCCTTAGTGCTCCTTCTGCCCATGTTACTGGTGGATGGCGGCTAAGACTCCCCTTAGCACAGATCCTGCCCGAAGCGACCAAGGCACCAAACTGAAATGGACAGTGCTCTGGCTTGCACAGAAATTACCTTTCGCACACGCATGAACCTGACACAGAATTACCTCTACTTACTCAGGAGCTGGCAGAGTACCAAGAGCTTGTAGCATCTGCCCTGTAATTCCGTATGAGCACGGTCAGTCTTGGCTCAGAGAGCCGCGGTGTGAACTGCACATCTCTGCCTAACTATGAAGGGCATCCACAGTGTGCAGGAGGCCTTTACAGATTAGCTGATCACTCCTGTACAGCCAGTACCCCGGCTGTACGAGTTGCTTAAATGCTCACAGACACCGAAGGTGATGTTAAACATGTCATCTGCCTTAAAGAAAGTGATTGCTGCTGTGATAGTACATAATTTCTATATTAATGTAGTTAAGTATGGTTTGTAAGAGATTAGGACAGCAGTATTTTTTAAAAAATCAGTGTACAGATTAGAGACAAGCGACAGGCTGATCTCTGCAGCTGCAATTAACTGTCTTTTCTTCGGTCTCTGCTGCACAGCTCTAAGGAGGGCTACGATCTCCTCCTGCTGATGAAGGCTGATTAGCAGTCAGGTGGGGAGACACGCAGGGGATGGCACGACACATTAATTAAATCACTTCCACCAGCTAAGTGGTGACACTTTGATTTATAGCAGAGCTCATTCAACTAGACACTGGCATTTCCTGGGCACCAGGATGAGAAAAGCCAAGCTGGGAAGCAGGTGGGAGAAA